AATAAAATATTATTTAATGGGTGCCTGGGATTTAGCTCAGCAGGCAGAAGCACCTGCCTGAGAAATGCTAGGTTGTGAGTTTGATCCCTGGTACCTAAAAAGAAAGTGTTTTAAACTTCAATGAAAGAAAACAATTTCATTGAAGATGTAGATTAACAAGATTTTTAATTAAATATCTCAGTGGCAAATTAAACATTGGTAACAGTCATATTTAGAATCTAAAGATGATGGGCTGTGTATTGAGCTCAGTGGTCAAAGCACCTGCCTGACAAGCACAAGGTCAGGAGTTCAATCCCTGGTACCAAAGAAAAATCTACAGTTGTCAACCACCATGTAGTGCTATAGTGAGCACAACTATTGAAATTGATAGTTGTTCATTAAAAAGCTCAATGTTTCTTTTGTCGTCTATGAAGTACCTACAAATAACATGGTAACTACAATGAATAATACACTGTGCACCATAGCATTGCTATTTGCTGAGAGATGCTTTTATTTTTCCCCACATAGTTGAAAGATGAAAATGATTGGTGATGATAGAGAAACAGTGATAATAATTTTTCAATTTTGTTGGGTATTTCACTACACCCATTAAGTACATTTTATTTGCTACAATTATGCTAAGTGAAATAAATAAATAATTCTTAATGTCACAGGCAGCTGTGTTAGTTAGAAATATAGGCAGTCAGATAGTGATATAATGGAATGAAACTCCTGACCTACTGTGTCTGGTAGGAGTTTGTGTTCTATAAAATAGAAGAATGAATTTTAGGAACAATGGAAGTGAAGAGCAGAATATAACTACTGAGAGAAAAAAGTGAAACATTTTTGCTCTAGATAGGATATTATAGCAGTGGGAAGCAGGCCAGGGGACATTTACCCTGAGGTCACTTACCTCTCCCTTAGGCAACTTACCTGTGGCATGCAAAGAGTCCCTATCAGCTACTGGCACATCAGCAATGCCACCTTTAAGCACCACCGCAGTCAAAAAGTAGATATGAGCCCTCTCACCATATATCCAGCAGAAAAAGGCAGATGTCCCGTGGTCACGTGGTACTCTCTACCTTCTACGAATAAAGGCCATTTTTACTTTATATTCTCTCCTTTACCACAGCGAAAATCCTATCAGAAAGCTTCTGTCTGAGAGAACAGGAAGGGTCATAAGTGGGTTGTCAAGGACTCTGTATCTTCTAGGGACTTTATAGAATAAAATCATGGGGTGAGATGAGTTTAAGGTGGGGAAAATTGGAAACTCACAAGGCAGATGGGCATAACTTTGGACAGAACTATGTTTAGCCAATATAATTAATAGTTATAATTATAATTAATAGGCAAAATCATTTACACTGCAGACAAATGGGGAAGCAAGGTCATAGCAGGCATTTTACAGAGCTGTAACCCTCCTCTATGGGATTGGGAGGGTGACTCCTGACTTCAGCAGGGTGACAGGGAACTATTTAGAAAATCAATTCTTAGGATATAGATGAATTTGCTTGGTATTTTCTCTTGAGCCCTGTCCCGTAACAGGAGGTATCTGTCTCCCATAGCTGCAAGGTATGTGGGCTTCTGAGCTGGCCACTTCGAGGACCTGATTCTGTCTCCCTGGCTCTATATTTCTAACTCAGCTGCCTATAACAACAGGGCTGGCCCCTCAAAGGAGCCAGAAAATAAGTTCAGATTGCTTGCAGGATTGGAAGAGACAATCACCTCCTGCTGTGGGCCAAATCTCAAAACAAAAGGTAAATTAAATACAACCAAGTGCTAAGGACCAACAGTCCAAATAGTTCTCTGATCACCCTGAGGAACTCAAGAGCCCCCATCCCAATCCTCTAAAAGAAGAGTCTCTGCTCTTAAACCTGCCCACTTTCTATGACTTGCTCTCCCATTTGCTCCCAATTTAATCAATTTTACCTGAGCAATTAACCTTATTGGTTGACCACATTTCTACTCAGCCTTAGGCTTAACTTTCTGATTCCCATTTTCCCCTCCCCTGAACCCATCTAACCTCATGATTTAACTCTATACAAGTTCCTCAAAAAGACGGTCTTTGGCAACCCACTCAGACCCTTCCTGTCTCTCAGACAGAAGCTTTCCTTCTCCCAATAAATATATTCCACTGTTAAATGCCATCATTCGTAAAATTCATTCTTCAATTTTAGAGAACACAAACTCATACCAGATATATACTAGGTAAGGAGTTTCATTCCTCTATACCATTAACATGAGCCAAATTAACATGACTATACTTTTATAATGTCTGAAATTTGTTCCTTTTCCTGCAGTTTCAAGTGATTAATACAACTAACAGTGATTATAGTCCTGGCAACATCTAAAATTGTATACAACAGTCAGTATAAGTGTAAAATAATTGCTTTGATTGTATTATTTATCAAGACATAGACTTTGCCATGACACTAGGTTATATCTTAAAAAAGAGAAGGTTCGCCTGTCTTGTAAGCAGGCAGTCGTGAGTTCGATCCCTGGTACCGATAAAAATGAAAAAGACAAAAAAAAAAAAAAAAAAAGAGAAGGTTCACCAATAATTGTTCAGAAAAATTTCAACACTATTGGCTGCTTGAACAATTTTTAATTAGATAAACTGTGTATTTTTTCAGTTTCTAGAAGGCTTCTATTATATTATTGAAAGGACCTTGACTATATTTTGATGCATAATTCTGTTTTGAAACTTGTATGAAGATTTATTTTTATCTTAGGAGTAAGCTCACTGCATTGACACTGATAGAGTGAAGCAAAAGCCCACTGCATTGATTTCCACTGGATACTCATGGCATAGAGCATGTGAATTACTGAGGAGGTAAATTAGCTTCATACATAGACACGAATCAGTACTGTTATGATTTTTTGGCCCAATAGAGAAGCACAATGATAGGATTATTTCTAAAAGATGAAAAATATTTCCAAAAATGAGAAGTATAAAATGAAAAGAGGTCTTTATTCTGAGAACATGGAGAGAGATGACTGGCACCCCCACCTCTGGAGTCGGGTGATCTCTCTGGCAGACACGTGGGGTGGGGGTATGTAAGGAGACTCGGTTTGGGGTGGAAACTAAGGAGGGCATTGTGGATGCACAGGTAGCCCATTGGTCCTAGGTTTGGCCCCATAGGTAAATTTCCAGGGGTGGGAAGATGGCATCACAGGTAAATTCCTAGAGGCAGGGAGATAGGGGCTTCCTGCTTACGGTTGATGGTTTCCTGGCTACAAAGTCCTGTCTGGGCCAAAACCCTTTCACAGAATATAAGAAAAAGTAGAAGTGTCCTTTCTATTTAAAGAATGTGGAGAGGAGCCTAAAGCCACCAAGGGTTTGCCTTTTTTTTTTTTTCTGACGGATTATGGGATTATAGGCTATATTTGAAATTTGGTGGTGTTGGCACTGACACTGATATCATGTAAGGAGCTGATTGGAATTTTCTTTTGGCCCCTTGGAAAGGAATGAGGAAGTTGTATTCAGAAAAAAAAGAGGAAGTAGCCATATGGGTAAGCATCCCTGATTTGTGTTCATCCTTTCACCCCGATGAACTCCCTCCATGATGCCCTGTAATTTATTCTAGGGCAAAACTCTTTAAAGTGCATCCTTTAAGTTTAAATTAAGAAATGAAAATAAAGAATTTTTGCTATGTGTCTTCTCCCTTGGTTAGTGGTAAACAATTCACAAGGAAAGTATCCCATCATTTCCTTAATGCATTGTAGATAGCATAAACAAAACTACAGATCAGTTCACTTTCAGAAGACAGAAGCAGCACTAAAAGGCAGGGATAAACCCCTTCAATGCAAATGTCCCTTAAGAGTTGAGATCAACATTTAGGATTACAATCATGTACAGATTTCTCTGACTTCAAGAAAGAGAAAAATTTACACTGTTATTGCAATAGGTCAATGAAACTCCAGGTCTACTATGTCTGGTTTGAGTTTGTGTTCTCTGAAATCAAAAAATGAATTTTAGAAAAAATAGAAGTCAAGATAATATAATTATTGGGAGAAAGAAAGCTGTGTGAGAGAGAGCAAATGTGTCCTGACTGGGTTGGAAAAGACTGTCTTTTCCAAGGACTTTTATAGAGTAAAATCAGGTGGTGAGTTGGGTGGAAGGTTGGGAAAACTGGGAACTCACAATGCAGATGGGCATAAGATGGGAGAGAGCTATGGTAGCCAATAAGATAAACAATTCAGGTAAAGTTGATTAAATTGGGAACAAAGGGGGAAGGGAGTCACACAGAAAGCAGGCATTCTTAGGCAGCAGTGAATCTTCCCTTAGGGTTTTGGGAGGGTGACTCCTTATTCATCAGGATGATAGGAACTATTTAGAATGTCAGTCTTTAGGATAAATATACATTTCTTTGAATGGTGACTCCTGACTTCCTCAGAGTGCTTGGGAACTATTTAGAATATCAGTCCTTAGGATATGGATGAATTTGTTGATCTTCCATAGCAGGAGTTGTCCATCTTTTCCATAGTTGCAATGTATCTGGGTTTCTGCATGGGCTCCTCAGAGGACCTAGCCCTGTCTCATTGCTAATCATAATTAACTAACTCAGCTCCACACAATAGTAGTTTTAGGAAAATTGAATACAGATGTCTCGTGCTCTGGGTGAATGATCCGGGATAACAGTGTGCAATATATATACCAGTGTTGCCCCCTGATTCACATGTTTTGAAATTTAGTTTTAGTTCATTTTTTCCTTTTATTCTTGAAATGAAATGGATTTGGAAATAAAAAGCTGAGGGAAGATAATTTGGTACACATATTCCTCTGTGTAGCTGAGATCAATACTGTTGAAGACAACCAGCTACAGAAGTCTCTGACTACTGTCTATCATTTGGGATCCTCTCTTGCAGGAAGGAATTCCTTTCCTTGTTTGTTTTTGACTCAGAAGGAGGAAAGTAGAGCAGCAGTCAATCACTGATGAAGAGGCGGGCTATATGAAATGTCCAATCATGTGAGCCATGGCAGGAGGTCTCTTGGGTCTCTTCCGGTGTGTAGACATTGTTTACCTGTTTGGAATACAAAACTGGGAGCAGAATGCTTGCTGGATTTCATTTACTGGTTTCGATGTCCTGTGGCCTGATTAGCAAAGAACGTGGGAGACACTCTAGCTACGGAATGGTGAGGCTTTGGATCGGAGCCCAGAAATAGGGGAGAAAACAGTTACAAGTAGTTAGAAGCAGTTCTGGTATCTGTAGACTCAGGTATTTAGTTAACTTCAGCTCCTGAGGTCTTCTAGCATTGGCCTTGGGTCATCCACTTTCCCTTTTTTCTCCTGCTGGGAGCAAGGATGATTTTGTGTTCCCAGAACTCTGAATTAACTATGATATCAACAGACTGGAGTATCATCTTTGAAATTTTTACTGCCCTGGCACCTCCACCATAGGGAGCAGAGGAAGGAGCTTGGGAAGACCCTGACTCTGATGCATTTTGTAGCTGGAGCAGCAGTACTGAGCTTGGTCTCTGCTCTCATTCCAGGGATCAGCAATCTTGATGTTCTAAAGTTTATAAATGTATGTAATGTAATACAGGGCCTCATATCCACAACGGCACTCTTTAAACTTGTACTTTCTTGTATTTATAGGAATTGCCTAAATTTATGGTATGTTCTCACATTTCCAACCTCATGACAGGTGTTGGCAAAATCATGAGAATTCAGAGATGTGTAGTGATGTGCTTCAGTGGAGGAACTTTCCAAACACGGGATGAACTCCTGTGTACTATAAATAACAGTGCAAAGAATTTCTGAACATACTTTATGTGACACATGTGCTCATAGACTATCTTTGTGAGAACAGCCATAGAGGTTTGAATTTTGAGAAAAATGAAGCAGATATAAAAGTGTCATCAAGGGCAGGATAAAGTGTGCTTGCTAAGGACAAATTCCAGAAAGGGCTGCCTGTGAAATTCTCACTGAAAAATGCCTAAATGTAGTCATTTGCATGAACATATACAAGTGATATCTTTCTGAATGGAAAGGAATACGGGTGTCATCTTTGAATTAAGAGCTGATTTAATAGCTTGGTTGATCATATACATTGTTTAAATATGGAAATGCTCTGTAATGGACTTTACTAATTCCTGTAAAGGAGATGCCCTAAATTGAAATTGTGCAGGGATATCAATAGTTTAGGCATGAAGGGTTTCCGGCTTAGGGTAGATCAGACAAGCATGGAAAGGATGTGGAAGTGACCAGCAGGACACAGTGTGCAAATAGGAGGACATACAACAGAGAGGGTCTTCACTGAAAGTCAGGTAGTTCTTAGGGTAAGCATGAAGTTAAAGTTGTCTTATGATATCTTCCTTGAGGTGAGTAACAATGCTCTGGTAACAATCAGTATTCCACATCCCGGTCAACCCATGAATTCTGTGTTCTCCACTTGAGATCTAGTTTTGACTAGCTCTATGACCCAGTATCATGAAAGTGAAATTTGAATGTTTTTTTTGTACCAAGGATCGAACTCATGATCTCAAGCTTGCCAGTTAGGCTTTTATGCTGCTGAGCTAAATACCCAGCTCTGAAAGTGCTTTCTGTATATTATGGATGATATCAACCTTGTTCCTCAGAAAATGTTGAATATTTTGGAATTTTTCTATATTGTATGGGTATAATTTTTTGAAGCAAACCAAAGGTGTCTTATGCAGTCACTTTTCAAGTTTCACATTGTCTGTCGGGTGTCTCAGTCAGGGTTTCTCTATTTCAGACAGCTCTATAACTTAGGCTAGCCCCAAACTCAAGGCAGTTCTCCTGCATCAGCCTCCCAAGATGTATTTCTTATATCTGAATGGAAAGTGATCACTTGTTGACACTGAGCTATAATTTTAAGCTTGCACCTGGTTTCATTGTTTATAAGTTTTTTACATACAGCAGATTTCCATGAACATTTGAGTTATTATTTATGTACCATATTTGATGTTATTTATGTTTTGTTCTGTGAAACCAAATTCAAATATCAAAATGATGCTTAAGTATATTAAGAACAAAGGACTCAGTGGCCTAACTGAGATTTGAAGAGATATCATTTGTAGTACATCAAAGTGATTGATGAGATACTTGTCTGCCTCTGTGCTTTATGGATGCTGGTCTTGCAGGCTCTCACTATGAGCTCTGCATTAGAGACAGTGCACAGCGACTCTTGCAGTGACGCAGCACAAGAATCAATGCTCCTATGTGTCTGTTACATTAGCGGTGAGTTGCAATATAGCATCAAATTTGCTGTCTCAAAAAATGTGTATATACAAAAAATTAATCCCCAAGATAAGGAACTAAGATTTGAAGAAATCAGTCTGTTTTGTTTGGTTTTGTTTTCTCTATGTATATCAGCTAGGTTTGAACCCCTTATGGAGCGCAGAATTGCCCTAATCTCAAAGCAGCACTCCTGTGTCAGCGTCTTGAGTGCTGGGATTATAGATATGTGTGTTTTTACCCTAGAAAATATTGAGGCTTGTAACTTAGCTGTGTTGTAGCTTGTCATAATAGATGCCATCTTGAGCTTTGCATTTAACTAGTGCCCTGTATTTCACCCAGAAAAATGGAAACTCACTCAGGGTAGAAGTCCCAGGAGAAAAGCAAAATGAGCTGTACACAAAGAAAAAATTTAACCTGCTCAACAAAAGAGGCAGAATACAGTTGTCATCCAAATATTATTATAAGATTCTAGTTAAATGGTTTCCAACAGTTCTTTTTGTGATTCTATCTTTTAAAACATCTCTGACTTTCCAGTTCAAAGCGTGTTGTTTAGATCTTGAAATGGGGGTAGGAGTTCTGTATACAAGTGGTCCTGAGACCAGCTAATGAAATTCCACATTTCTCAATTGGGTTGCTTGGCTCCCTATGTTGTTGTTCACAAACTCAACTCAAGCTGTAGAAACTTTTACTGACACAAGCAAACACCAGCGTTAAATGACAGTGCCACTGAAATGAAAGAATAATTGTGAAAAGGAGAGGAGAAAAAAGACAAACACCATGTGCTATAATGCCACCTCTTTTACCAAGCAATCAAAAAGCTGAAACAGGAGAATAGCCATGTATTCAAGGACAGCCTAACCTACATAGTGAGTGCAAGGCTGGCTGGAACTCCAAAGTGAGATTATGTCTTTAAATCAAAAAACTAAAAGGAAAAAAATAAACAACCAAGGAAACAGAAAGACTATTAAAAAAAAAAACAATAATAGAGCTGAGGTTGTTTTGTTTTGTTTTGTTTTGTTTTGTTTTGTAGTTCTGTATTGTGTGTACCCTTACGCCGCTTTGGTTTGTTTTGTGATTTTCTCTTTTTCCTCTTAAATAAAAAAAAAAATAATAGAGCTGAGTGAAAGTTGACTTATGCAAAATGGGAGTTATTGAATGATGATGCCGAGGAAGGAATGCCATGTAGTAGCATCCAAGAGACAGTTACAAACACAGACTTCGGAATGGCACCTATTGTGCTACAGCACAACTGTGACCTCCTTCCTCCAATGCATTTGCACTTCACTAGACTGAGGACTTCTAAAAGCTCATGGAAATGTTAAGCTCATGGCAAACAAGGAGCTTGAAATCCAGGCTTTGTAACATGGCCTTTAGCAGACATTTCATATTTAAATTGAAATAAGAGAAATATAATTCTGCCCTGTTTGATGTCAAATGCACAAAGTTTAATGGCTCACAGCATTGGGAAAGGAAGTCACAAACCAAAAGAAGTTCAAAAATTTTCTTAGAAAAAAGAGAGAAGAATAGCCCTGAATTTTAAGGAGTGGTCTTCGGTTTTTTGGCCACAGACCTATTGACAGAGGTCATTTATACAGGAAAGTCACAATGTGGATACAGTGTGGGTCTCAGACTACAATCAAACTATAAGCTTATAGCTTCTTAACTAATATTATTCAGCAGGGGAACAAATCAGCCAGAAAAGGTATGTGGAAAGAGCCAAGGCATTTTGTGGGAACAATAGTCCAGTTCTGGTCATTGAGTATAGTAATTGATGCCTATCTGCACTTCCTGGAGGATGTGGTGGTAACTGTAGTACATTTCAAGCTGTTGTTTTTCTCTTCAGGAGTATGTAGACATGGTCACTGCATCTTCTCCTTCAGGTCTGGCTTTCTTCAGCTGTGCCTGTAGCAGTGATTGTTGTATTTAGTTTTTTACATTGACTCTTTGAGGTTCCAGTTTCTCTCTGATTGTATATCAATTTCTGTCTACATGGACATCCTTTGCTAAAATCACAATAGTATTTGAATGAATAAAGTGATGTTTATACATTTAAAAATATTCATTAGTACAGGCCAGGGATTTAGCTCAGCAGGCAGAAATACCTGCCTGGAAAGTGCTAGGTTGTAACTTTGATCCCTGGTACCTATAAACAAAAGTAATTTAAACTTCAAGGAAAGAAAATAATTTCATTTGTGAAAATGTAAATTTACAAAATTTATAACTAAATATGTCAATGGCAAATTAAACATTGTTAGTAGTCATATTTAGTATCTAAATTTGTTGGAGCTGGGGATTGAGCTCAGTGATACCAGGAGCTGAATGGAGAGAACAAGGTCATGAGTTCAATCCCTCATACAAAAAAAAATTCACAGTTGTCAACGATGCAGTGCTGTGAGCACATTTATTGAAACTGATACTAGTTAATTAATAGGCTCAATGTTTCTTTTGTGGTCTGCGAAATACCTGCAGATAGCATGACAATTACAGTGAATGATGTCCTGTCCCCTATAGGTTGCTATTTTCTGAGTTGTTTTTATTTTTTGTTTTCCCAGATACTTGAAAGTTGATAATGTTGGCTGATGCTAGCTAGAAAAACTGTGATAATCATTTTTTCAATTTAATGATATATTTCCCTATATCCATTAAGAACATTTTATTTGCTACAATTACTCCAAGTCAAATTGATAAACAATTCTTAAAGTTACAGGCAGCTGAGTTAGAAACACATGCAGCCATACCGTGATAAAGTGGAATGAAATTTCTGACCTTCTATGTCTGGTATGAGTTTGTGTTCTCCAAGGTGCAAGAAAGAATTTTAGGAACAACAGAGTTGAAGAGCAGAATATATTTACTGAGAGAAAGAAAGTGAAAGTATTTGGCTCTAAATAGGACATTTTGGAAGAGGGAGGTGGAACCAGGGGACTTTTACCTG